CTCACCTCCAGTCTTTTACTTGTTGAACAATGACTCATGCCCACCTCCAGTATTTTCCTTGTTGAACAATGGCTCATGCTCACCTCCAGTATTTTTACTTGTTGAACAATGAGCAATGCTGATCCCTATCATTTTCAGGACTAATGTAAGCACTTCGTAGATTCCCTTCCATTGTTAGCTTATCACTACTACCAGATTTTAAGCCTCTCCAATGGATTCATATGACTTATGTATATCACTAACTTCATTTATAGCTCTGGTTTCTTATTCAATACAAAGGTTAATGGAGCATTTAATCCGTTTTTTTCCAGTCATTAGAATGTCAGTCATTCAGTGAAATTTTCAGATCAATGTCAGTTAAAAGGCTGCAGATTGTGAGTGAAGCTTCCTAACCACCAGGTCATGCCAGGCCAAAATGTATGTAATACTCACAGGTTGTAAAATACTATTTTTCTAACACTATTCTTTTAAATTCTTTGGTAAAAATAATTCAACATCCAGTTCACCTAAAGATAATTTATTTTTAACATTTCTACGCTTAACTTGTACACTGTTGAAATTGTAAGGTGCAAGTCTACAGATGACATTCAAACAGAAATACCACACTAATTCCAGAATGGTATTATGACTAACATAAAAATTACCTTACTCATTTCCTTACTTTCATGGCTAATCGATTGAATAAATGAATTTATGTGAAATTCCCTATCACTAGACATGCTCACCCTTTAAAATTACTTTCAAGGCCAGTCACCCAAGTGAAAAATTACTGCCTACTTCAGATTACCCTAGCAACTGACCCAAAAACTAGATGGGAGTACAGTCAAATAAAGAAAAAGAGGGGTATTACATATGTTCTTTATTATTATTATTATCTGAGTGAACTTGCTCTAAATTGGGAAAACTACTCAAATATTTCATAAAGAGTAGTTTTTGATATACAGCAGTAAAGAAATTACTTGCACTGCATTGTATACCTGTGGAAGTTTTCTTTCTCAAAAATGTGCAAAATTTAAACTGAATAAAGTGTACAGTTTCTTGTCATTGAATCTTTCTTTGGGTGTCTAACTTAGTTAATTTTCAGAGGTTTTTTTGTTTTATAGAAAATAATTTCCTACCATTTGAAACTACTGTAGTTATAATTTTGCAGTTAATAAAAACTCTAGAGTAGAGAGCAACAAATATCAATAAAGGACTTGTGTTCTGAATGCAGACATTTCTTAGAGCAATTTGAGCATACTGTGTTTAAAAAAATTATTTTTTTGTCTTTTTGTTTAATAATTTTAGATTCCAAGAGAAGAACCATGGAAATGTCAGTTTGCTCAGGAGTGGGATGACATTACTCTAAACTCATATCTTGAAAAGGAATGTTGGACAAAGTAAGTTTATTGTAGATAAAAGTGAATTCTTCAAAACGTTGGTAAATTCAATTTGGGAAAACCAAAACTTAGTTCACTCTCACCCACTTTTGCTTTGTAGTATTACCTTGAAAATCTGTGGTTTTTTTTCTCCAGTCTTGAAAGTCAGTGATTTGTTTCATCTAAATGTGAAAACAAACAATGTGTTTTGTCCAAACCTGAAGATTAGTGTTTGTTTTGTTCAAACTTAAAGAACAATGAATAGTGTCAGCTAAACATGAAAACAAACAATGTGTTTTGTCCAAACTTGAAGAACAATGAATTTGTTTTATTCAAACTTGAAGAACAGTGATTTGTTTTATTCAAACTTGAAGAACAATGATTTGTTTCATCTAAACATGAAACAAACATTGTGTTTTGTCCAAACCTGAAGAACAATGATTTGTTTTGTTCAAACTTGAAGAACAATGATTTGTTTTGTTCAAACTTGAAGAACAGTGATTTGTTTGTATGAAATTGAACAATGATTTGTTTTATATGAAATTCAAGAACAGTGATTTGTTTTGTATGAAACTGAAGAACAATGATTTGTTTTATATGAAATTCAAGAACAGTGATTTGTTTTGTATGAAACTGAAGAACCATGATTAGTTTTGTCGAAGTTTGAGGAGTAGTGTTGCTTTTGTACAAGCTTGAGAATTGGTGTTTGTTTTGTCCAAGCTTGAGGAGTAGTGTTGGTTTTGTCTGTTCTTAAAGATTGGTGTTTGTTTTGTCCAAGCATGAGGAGCAGTGTTTGTTTTGTCTAGTCTTGAAGATCAGTATTTGTTTTGTCCAAGCTTGAAGGTCGGTGTTTGTTTTGTCCAAGCTTGAGGAGCAGTGTTTGTTTTGTCCAAGCTTGAGGAGCAGTGTTGGTTTTGTCTAGTCTTGAAAATCAGTGTTTGTCAGGTATGCCAAAGGGTATAGAAGCATTATTACTTATTAATC